TGAGAAAAGACAAACGTGGCTTCTCACTGGTAGCAAACTGCAACAATTTGCAGGGACATAGCTCCTTAGGGGCACGCTGAAATGTTTAAGGAAAATACGTCTGTGAGCACAGGCACTCTAGTAACTATAATTCCACCTTACTGCAGAACACACACGAGGAAAAGCAAAAAGCACAGTCCTGAGAAGTTAAATTTACAAAAACTGGGAAAATTAAATTTTGTGTTTAATAGAGAAACGGATTACTTAACATGACAGCAGTTTGGAAACACGGAATAATTTCCATTCAGTAATGTGTACTTTTTATCAATTCTCATGCATAGCAAAGCTAGTGCCAAGGAGAAATAAAACTACAGGAAAACAGTTATTTATCTTCTTACAAACCTCTGAATTTAAACGTCCTGCTGATAACCTGAGGTTCTTAGTTAACAGTTCCGGTCATGTCCCAGCAGTTACTACACCCGTGACACACAGAGCCCCAGAACTACATAGACTTCGAGAAGGCTGTAAGTGAAGGTTGTTGGGTTTGCTCCTGCCCTTGATTGTCACTCTCAGTTTTCATGGCCAGTTGAAGACCGCCCAGTCTTCAGGTTTTGTCTCTTCACAACATGCGTCAGTTCACTGTTAATCACAAATCCTAGTAAAGGGTACAGATTAGGAATGTTGTGTCTGGATTTATACCCCAGCCTTACAACTCACTAATTCTTTGAATTTAAACAACTTAATCTCACTATGCCTCAGTTTCCTTTTCTGTAAAATAAGGATAAAATACCTTCCTCAAGAGTACTGTTGTAAGGACTCAGTGAATATAGAGCTTAACATGTTATTCTCAGTTTTTAGCAGTTCATTATTATATGTTGTGATGGTTCTTTGTTTTGACACATCGATATTATAATAGCATATACGCTCGTAACCACCGTGCTTTGGTGTCCAGTTCTTTCTTTCTTTCTGCTTCACCTGTCTCCCCCACCCCCCACTAGTAGCTCCACACACCCCATACTTTTTCTGTTTCCTGTTTAGGGTTACAGATGCAGAGCCTTCTGTCCAGATCTATTGCCTGTGACTTCTAATCTATAGGGATGGAAAGTATCTTGAGCCAGTGTATATAAAGGCATTAGAATAACCACATGTTTTACTTGTAAGCCAAGATTTTCATAGAAGGCTGCCCTTCAGTGAATATAGTCTGAAGAAAACTTTCAAAACACCCAAGCAAAAAGACCTTACCCCACCATTACTTAGAGATTTAACGAAATACAGCCACTCTAAATGGTTACCGGTCATAGAGGCTTAAGAAGTAAAATTAGATGAACCTATGGGAAATCTGGAATCCTCACTGTTAATGCCATCTTGCACACTTTGTGTTAAGGGTCCTTGGACATGTCTTGGGTAGCTTAACTACTTGGACACGACTTGTCTCTGGATACCCTGAAGTAGGTGTAAGGCCTCTGTAATCCACGTGTGTTACTCCTGCTCAACTGTCCACACCTTCATTCGTGAGGGAAGGGATGGTGTTTCCCAGCCCATCAAGCTGGACTTTTCAATGAAGACATTTTAAGTTGTAATTCCCTCACTGAAAAGTAAATGCTAAACTCTCCAAAGGAGGGGCGCCTGGGTGGCGCAGTCGGTTAAGCGTCCGACTTCAGCCAGGTCACGATCTCGCGGTCCGTGAGTTCGAGCCCCGCGTCGGGCTCTGGGCTGATGGCTCAGAGCCTGGAGCCTGTTTCCTTCCGATTCTGTGTCTCCCTCTCTCTCTGCCCCTCCCCCGTTCATGCTCTGTCTTTCTCTGTCCCAAAAATAAATAAACGTTGAAAAAAAAAATTAAAAAAAAATAAACTCTCCAAAGGAATAGTCTCTGAAATATGAGGCAGAAAGCAGCAGCAGGTGCACAGAGTGATGGAGCGCTCCTTGTCAGAGACCCCTGGAGAGCTCTTTCTGCCTTGCTGTCCCTCTAGTTGATCCTTCTACAATAGAGCTTTTCACAAGACTTTGCCAGCTTATGCAGGTGTGAGGACTCCCAAAGCACCTTTGTCGGCATTCAGGAATCTTAAGGCAAGAGAGTGCACTGGGGCAGAGGAACACACATGACGGTCATGGGCCCAAGTCAGCACTTGCAGATTTCTCAGCACTGTTTCATACTCTGAGGAAGTGCCGAACCACTGGGCATGAGGACTGTAACGTACTCGATTTCCTGGATATAATTTAAAAGATTCTTGTGGGTAAGGGTAGGGTATGGTTTAGAGAGAACCTAAAGTTATTAGCCCTATTGGTAGGTAATTAATGCCTGCGGGCAGGGTGTTGCTGGCCAGAATCGTCACCCTCTGCTGGTGGGGTTGCAACATGGCAGAGCTGTAGAGAGACTGATACCCAGGGGAAAGAGCCAGGCTGCCACCAGGTTCTCTGTCCTCCAGCAACAGAAAGAACTTCATATGCTGCTAAGAGCCATGGCAGAATGAATTTTGGTTTTAGGGGCTTTGGAGTACTCACAAATGATTGTAGTGAGCAAAACATAGGAGAATGGGAAGAAGAAGTGAGCAGCCTGTGAGCCACAGATCCTTTGCAGCTTTCAAAACTAAAACCTCAGGTGACAACCAGAAAGTTGTCTATGAAGTAATTCAGAGTAAGTCTGCAACTCAAGGTTTAGTTGTTAGTAACTGACTCTCTGGAGTAGTCTACATATTTTCCTCTTTAAAGTATTGTTTTAACTGTTCCTTTAAGTATTGGTTAAGTCATAAGGTTATTGTAATAAAGACCAGTGTCTTTATCAAAAGAGTCTCCCTTGTCCATATTCAGAGAATGGATTTAATGACTATTAGATCAAAACCACGTAGTGGGCAGTAACACATGTGTCCCGCGTCGTCTTCCCGACACACTTTGACTGCTCCCATCTCTCTTTGCCATTGTAGCCAGAGTACGTGACCTACAATGCAGACCTGATCGTGTCACTTCATTGTGTGAAGTCTTTTGTTAGCTCTTATCAGGTTTCCCCCACTATCCAAAAGTAGAGCGTTCCTGTAAAACCTTTTATAAGTTGAAGTGGCGTAAAGCAAAGAAGTAATTACCTTAATTTATATGGAAAAATTTTTGAGTGTTCCCAGACCCAAAAAATAACCTCTCTTAGGCTTTTCAGATACTTTAGGACACATCATGCTAGTGGGTGCCCAAAATAAATCCAGGTAAAGCCCAGATGCTTGCAGCCACAGTTCAAAGCTATGGTGGCTTGATGTGAAATGTAGTTCCAGGGGAAGGAGCGTGGTGGAGCCACTCCCTCTTCCAGGTGTGTGCTGCCTCTGTACCTGCCCACTGCCAAACAAACACTGAACACTATTTTTGCTTTTAGCTTTTGTTCATAAAAACGAAAATCCGCTTCGGGTGTCTTTCGTTTAGCGAAAACAGATGCTAACATAGGTGTTTCATAAAAGCAAAGTGGCATAACACGAACTTCGGAAAAGCAGGGGATACCTATATGTGCATATATACGTATGTACCCATACACATATACACATTCGTGTATATATGTACATACACATATTTGTGCGCGTGTGTGTGTTTGTGTGTGTGTGTGTGTGTGTGTGTGTGTGTCATGGGCAGGTATAGATCAGTATCCAGTAAGGGTCTT